CTAGATGCTCCCGACGCCGTTTCCAGCCGTAGCTCTCTTGTTTCTTACTCGATTTACGAAATTTAAGGTTTATTGGTATCCTGATGAACACTCCAACATGATTTACAGAAAGCAAAATTTACAAAATCCTCATATTAACGAAGTTATTCACTGGATAATGAAAATACTTTTTTTCCGAAACACATATTTTATGAAATATCATAAGTCAATGTGCGTCTAATTAATCTACATTTTAATTCTTTTCATTTGAATCCTAAATCAAAACGAAAAATGCGTGCGATGCGGAGCGCGTTGTCGGCGAAACAGGCGAGAACCGCGTTTTCGCGCGCGGTCACAGTTCATTCACCTCGCACGGCCTAGCGAACAATTTACTCTGTAATTCCTATATTTGTAATTGTAAGTAAATAAGTTAGGTATTGTTTGAAAGCTTAGAAAATTTGGAAAATTATTAACTAAATTTCATTTATATTTAGCTTTAATTATGGCCGCAGTAATCAACTAAAGATTTGAGAGGAATTTTAAAAATAGTATTTTTCTAAGAAAATCTTATTTTTAATGCATTTACACTAAAGTTACATGAATGTTGTCTATGAAACATATGTTGAGGATAAAAAATACTACAAAATGAGACCATTTAAATTCAAATTGGTAATTTGGAACTCTAAAAATATGCAATTAACTAAAGTAAGTAGCCGCCATCTTTATGACGTCATAAATACCTACTGTACCATTTTTTGGAGTTAAAACAGGCTAAACCGTCATCCAGAGATCATAACGAATCCAACGGTACCTGTTTTAGCCATTACGTATGAAGTGACGACGAACTCGTAAACTAAAGCACTTATAACGATTTTACCTCCACACTATTTTGACAGGATCCGTTTCATGTTTTGTTCGTAACCAAAATATACGAGCCTCAGTAAGCTACATCCATTTTTTACCAGCCCAGCCATACTACAAAGATTGGCTTACCGTCTTACACTGTAACTACGAAACTCACACTAGTAGATAAGTATTATGGAAACGTTTTGTGGCATGTTTTTATCTTTTTAAAAGCTTAGGTACACACAAACCAGACACAAACTCAATTTTACCCTGTGGAACTAAATAAATGACCGTAACAAACTTAATATTTAACTGATAAAGAAAAGGTTGCTTAACGCTTCTAATAGACATTCATTGTAAGGGGAAACACTCCACAGTAGCATAATAGATGCTCTTAAACTATAAATATTGTCACTAAACATAGTATACGCAAAGCAAACACATATCTTTACATACCCTGGGCTGGCACCGATACGCTGTGATTATTTTATTCTATGCTTTTCTGCTTTGATATTTAAACTAGAATCAATTTTGAAAAAGTTGCGGTATGGATTTTATTCATAGGTATCTTTGAACGGATAAGTCCAGGCAACCCAAAAGTAATGATGTTATCTTATCTAGATCTAGGCCAGATCTTTCGTATTATTTGAAGACAGGTACTTAGAGGGCAATATGGGAGGGAAACCCATGTCCATCCGTGACTAGAATAGAAGTGGTAGTGGTACGGCATCGAACGTTACATAGTCTAATAAAACATGGTCTTTCCTTCCCAGAGAAACACAAGTCAACGTCACTTAGTATTGCCACTTCATTTCAATAAAATACGTTATGGGGTAAATTCAATCTCAGAACAATGGGATAAAATATTTCTTAATAATTTTATAATTTAGATTTACCTGTGTATGTATTAACTTTAACTTTACAACAACACTTCAATTGTATTTATTAGTTAACAGTATCATAAATGATTTACAAAAAACATCATAAGAGTGGGTAATTCTGGTAACCCACAAGCATGATGACGTAAACATGTGTTGGTCACGTGGTTCACGAGTCTCGGAAAGAAATACCAGGCGGAGTATCTTATTATACCATAGAACGTTAGTACTTGCATACAAAAAATATATTTCAGGTACGTATCTAGGTAATTAACTAATATCGGAAGTTGGGTCAAATAATAATAAAAACAATTTTATTACAGAGCTGTTAGATTCTTGCGTACGAAAGAATAAAAACCAAACTATAATTTTTATCCCAACTGCTTTGCTAACTGCAGGCAGATGCATCCTATAATACTTCTTTATTTTTTAGCATGTGTCCAAGCCTATAACATTATATTTGATTTGTCTGAATTTTTTCCATATACGCAACAAGCAACAGATGTTTACTCGAGAAAAAAACCAACAATACCCATAACTGGAGTTAGTTACTAAATGATAAACTTTAACGACACCTTATTAACGATTTATTTGTTACACTCTCGAATTATTCTGTAATTTATTACAAATAACTCCCGGATTTGAAAAAGTGAAATTCTGGTAACAAAAATTCCGGTAACAAAACATTTTATTACCACTCTCGGTAACATTTGTTACCGGATTTGATTTTAATGATCCACTATTCAAGTGTCACCCATTCATGAGAGCTTTTTTAATACATTTAATGTCATTTAGTGTTGGGTAATTTTTAATAGGATTCTTTGGGATTTATTTGCTTATCTCAATAGGGTGGGATTCTCAGAGAAAGCATAGGCTGAAATAGAAATAGATTCAAACTTATGCAATTTTGTAAGTAGGTTTAGACTAGGTAAAACTTCGACTTATGGCATTTGTAGACCAGCTATTCAGCCAGCGTCACGTGGAATTGCGACGTTTTGTTCATGGCATGAGTCTTGTCACTCATCATCTTCCCTCTACAGAAAAGTTTCCTTTCTCTGTGGGATTAATATTGGGACTGTGGATGTTCTTCCTAGTTCCTCATGAGGTAATACTTCAATATTTTTATGGCTTAAATCGGATATTGGATTATATTAAGCGTGCTCGTAAATTTCGACATTCATTGGAATGGAACTCTACCTACCGTAGTCTATCTTTTTTATGAGTGTACCTAAGGTTTGGTTACTCATACTAAGGATCAACTCTAGATACTGGTTATTATTAATAAATAACTGTATGAAAAACTAAAATAGATAGGCTAGGTATACCTAAAATGAAGTGCTGGCAGTAACTGAAAACCAAAATTACTTTTCTAAACAGTTTTCTTTTAAATATGTAGGTAAGCAATAATTTTACATCTCTCCATCTATCTATAAGGATGTCTATCTTTGTATGAAATTTTTTCAATATTCGCTTTTTACATGGCAAAACCCAAATGTAAACTAGGTGTAAACTACGTAAGGTAGTACATTAATATTAAATTGTATCCATATGGCTTCCATACTGGTACACAATTAACTTCCATTCGCATCGACAAAAACTACCATCCTACCATTTTAGGACCTGTAATCTATTACCGATCTCGACAATCATCAATAATATTATGAATGACACTTCAAATTGTATGGAATCCAAACATCTTACATTCCAAGATAGTTTAGTTCCCGTACAGCGACATCTTTTGTCGTACATCGAAAAGTTTTGTAGAGTTTTCGCTCCGAATATTTTCATACAAGCGTCAATGAATGATGATGGAAAATAAAGTAAGTGATTTCGAAGTATTTTAAAAGTTTTAGTCAACACATGGCCCGTTCCTTTCATCACCCGATTCGAATACATTCATTTATCATTCTCTCTCTATCCATCATTTATCAAACAAATGAGACTTAAAGAGATAGAAAATGAAGTGACTCCATACTGCCCGAGCAAATCCGAATGTGCTGGCTAATGATACAATTAAAGATTAATTACATTTCGAATTTCGAATTTCACAGTTTGTGAATGAATGGGTTGTGTGCTTGCATTCATTCGTCCATTCACTCATATTTCAACTCTATTACAAAGGCGGTAAGACTATATTTTTTTGATGCAGTGAAGGCGTCGGCCAGTCTGTGATTCTTTAAAATCTCATTCGCTTTGTGTATTTAGCCGCTTTCATTCGCAATGAACGAATGATATTGCAACTTTCATTCACTGTTGAAAGGGTTGAAATGTTATATTATCGGCAAAAACTTGAGTGTCATTCATAATTTTACACGAATTTTATATCCATTAGTAGTATGAGTTACTTAAAATCTTATTGAGGGTTCGTAGGAGTGGTCTATTGTAATGTTCGTGTGAAAAGTATTACAATGAATGAATGAACTCGAATGATACACATAATCAGATTTAAACTTCATTTCTATTCTGAAAAGGATGAAAAAATGGCGCATTTGTATGGCAAGTAAGTAGGAGACCAATTTTTTAATAGTAGCTCTAAAAGGTGTTAAATAAAGTCGGAATTTCGATTTTAGCTCACCAGAACGTCTTCTTCTAGCATGGGACACCAAGTCGACGAACGACCCTCACCCAATAAAAAACTCCTTATCTACGCAGATAAAGCAAAAAATAAGTATGATCAGTAAATCTAACCTCCCCCAAGAAGCAAAAGCGGAAATTAAATCGTGTTGGAAACCGTTGTGACGTCATAACGACGACGTTATAGGGTTTATGACAAATGCCGTAATGAATCCCATGATTCCGAGATTACCGGGGTAACCCGGCTAACTCACTGCTTAGCCATAAGGACGGGTTAAAACAAGAATGAAGAAAGAAAGTTGCTAGTAATTATAGCGAAGTATGCTGCTTGATTACATAATATGATCCTACTATCCTACTTCCTACTAATATTATAAAGGCGGATGTTTGTGTGTGTGTTTGTTACGACATCACGCAAAAACGGCTGATTAGATTGACATGAAACTTTGCAGAAATATAAAAGGGCATCTGGAATAACACATAGGATACTTTACACCACGGAAAAATGTCTCATTCCCACGGGATCACGCATTTTCCAATATTTTTGAAGTAGGTGGCGTGACTGAGCCGATTCGCGTTTTAAACGTTTTCGCCGAAAACTAACAGCGACATCTCTTGGCGAATAATGCTTTTTTCCCGCGGAATAATAGGTTGCAGCGGGTGAAACCGCTGACGGGCAGCTAGTTGCTCATAAATGAAAATAAGAAATTGAAAAAATGGTGATTCATCGACCGGGGCTCTAACCCGAGCCGTATGGGTCAACGCCCCACCACTCTGCCAGTGAGCTATCAATGCACCGGTAGATGCCTGCCAAATTTATATTCGCTTGATACTCGAGTTTCGACTCCAAGCGACGGTCGATGCATGACAATTTTTTCAATGTCTGATTTTCATTTATGAGAATAGTATAGTTTAGATTCGGGTGACAAATTCCACTAAAGAATCGACAGACCCAACTAAAAGAAGGGAGTGCTTGTAGTTAAACCTAACATGATACTTAGTTCTTAAGGCAGTTACCTAGCACTTTTGGACCTCGGGTATTTCATGCACCTACCAATTTAATTTCAGTTTTATCCTGAACTATTTGGTGTATTTCCATATATTTTATTATTTATCTCCGCTTTTTATTTCTGCATAACACAATCCTCCTCTCCCTCGAAAAACATCCCGCACAATGATATGGAAAAATATCGAATTTAATACCGACTAAACGCCACCCCACCCCAATACTCCCATATCGCATGGGGTGATATAATGGCGTTTATTAAAATATGCCCGACGTGGTTTGGCATGGATTTACATATGCTAGTCATAAAGAGATGTGACTGATTGAATTTTTACACATCTAATCAGTTTGTTAGTTGGGGGTTGTGTCTTGGGGTCAATGAGATCTTTTTTTGCAAACTTTTATGCCAAATTTTGTAGAAGAAACGCGTCTGATTTTATTGGTCGGGTTGTTACTGAGTACCTTACTACATCCAAAATTTTAAGCGCTGGCAAGATTTGAACCTGCGACTTTTGGTATCTGTATTTCCAATGACTGTGTTCAACGACTTTACATATTGAGTATAGCCAAAGCGATGAAGACCCGAGATAAATTAAAGATCAATAAAAGCTGCCTAAACATGTGAAATTATCCCTGATCATGTTATAGATTTCTGTATCCAATATCGGTGATTGTAGATGTAGAGCCCTAAAATCGTCGTTACCTGTGTGAGCTGATTCACCTACATTTCCGCAAATGTAATAAAACATATAGGTACATACACTTTATTATCTATCTACTCATATTAAACCTTCAAATAACATTAAGGTTTACAATCAAACGTTTTATTTCAATCAAACAACACTGACTCTACCACGAAAGTACCCGGTATTACTTTCCCATACAATTCCATACACATCACACGTACCGTCTACCAAAACAAACTCAATAAAAAACCCAAAAGCACCTGGTTATGTAAGTAGATACAGTCGATTTGGTATTGCCAGCTATTCTCAAATTCGTCGTTAAAATATTAAACTGGCTTACCTTGTTGTCTATTTTTCTTATGAAAATAAGTATTTCTATTTACACCTATTGTTTTGGACCTGCAACGGTTGCAACATTTTTTTATGATGATTTTAAAATGATGAGTTTTGCTAGTGCCTAAATATGTCAAGGCGAATTGTTAAGGAATCGTTCCAGATTTATAAACTTTTTTTTGTGTTCAAGAGTTATTTTTAAAATTCAACACTTAATACAGAATTTGATAATGTTGTGACTGTTTACAATTCTCACATGTGAAGGCATTGAAATATCAAGAGCAAAATAGAAATAAAATTATTAACAGCGTTTCACCTCACCTCCTGGCAACACCGTCCGGGTGTCGGGAGCTTTAGATCGGCCATAATAGCCACTTTAGCACCCTCATGCGGCCCGCTGTGATTGTGTATTTAGTTCTATAAACTAACGCACATCAATAAAGGAGTAAGGATGGGACTTATGATGGGACTTGACTCCTTAATCGACTTATTGGATTCAACCAACGGAGTTCTTCTTCTTTTGAGTCAGTACGACTAGCGACGCAAAGGTGAAAGAGTTTGAGATATGGCTGGAGAAGGATGGAAAGTATCAGTTGGCTAAAGAAAATGATAAACAAAAAGTATTGACGCAGGTGTTGCGGGAACGTTATATACAAAAGAGGGAAAATCTTCGGGAAGATGATAGACCAAAGGTGTAAACTTAGATACAGAGCATGTAAATTGTAAAGCATTGTAATTTCTTAGAACTTTCAATTTGTGTTTATTTGATTTTCTATTTGCTACTGACAAGACATAAGAGCACAAGAGCACAAGTTGATGGCCCATCTGAATCGAGTTTACTCATTTCACACAAATCCCATCCCTTCAAAGGACAAATGCACACAGAATGATTCGACAATTACAGCTTGCTGTGAATTTATTGAATAAAATTGTTTAAGTGGATGCTTCATTATCAGGGTGGGGCGCGGGGCCTACTCGATTCACTAACTCACATTTATCATTGGTTAATTTACTTTTAACTCTGTTACACTATTGTCAAGAGTCATTGAAAAGGGTCTTTCGATATGCTATTTACTAACAAACTTGTATGGTTACTTATTTTGGTCTCTTGATTTTTGGTAGAGTTGCTTCGAAATATATTCTTACCCACTTACATAATAACAAATCAGTATCAGGTTTATTGTGTAGTTACCAATTCTGTAATCTACGCAATAAATAAAAATAAAAACCACTTCCTGTTTTTCTGTACAAAATTATCGTTTACAAAGTCATACCTATAACTGTAATAAAATTAATCTTTACCTATTTAATTGGACTAATATAAAATGCTGGTTGACCAAAACAGGATAATATTACTATAATATAGGTACCAATTAGTAATAAAATTATAATAGAAAATTTTATTTTATTTTTCCTCAATTAACTTCGGATAAGCAATTATTTCTTATCACAAATATAATAAAAACAAGTTAATTATTTCCTGAAACACTGCGTATTAATTAATGTTCAATTATTATTGTGTTATTTCATAAATATCGTAGGTGAAATGATTAGTTGCGTAGGTATACATTTTTTTTGATAAAGAGCATAAAATTCTACCTAATATTAATTATATCGGATATACTGTATTAATTATTTTAAGTGCTTAAAAGTATACAGAACACAAAAAAAACTCGTTGTCATAGAATAATCATAGTCTCACATAAAATACTCCCATTATAGAGAGTGAACGAGAGAGCCAATGAGCGAGTGAATGAATGATTGTTTAATGTAGCAGAAGTGAGCAAATTCGTTTTTAAACGGCTATCAGCCGGTCATTACGGCGGGTAGATGGCACGCACATTCCCGACCATCTAATAGTGTGCCGTTTTTGGAGTAGGGTAACCAAAATAGGCCGTTGTTTCGGGATAAAGTCAAAAATCAACTAAATATGTTATTTTATCACTACCAGCCATCGCACATATTTTGATCATCTCGTGCGTCGTTTTTGGTGTACTAAATAATCTAAAAATAAGTGTCATAAATCAAGTACACATAATAGGTATTATCCTGGAATGATTAGGGAAACGATTTGAAAATAAAAGTATTTGCAACATGATTTTGTGTTCAAGAAAACGTGTTGCGCCGACCCCAAGAAATTTTGATAAGTTCAGGAAGATGATGATGATGATAAAGCGTTTTGATTACGTATTCCTAGTACCCTAGTACTCTTAAACTTAACCAACCCCTCGACCAAAGTTTGATAATAATCTTAATGATCAATATTTTCTTGTATCCACATCTACCTACCAAAACCCATGGCCACCCTACAGCAGCAGTATATTAAGCACTCTCAATAACGCGTCCTGACAATAGCAGAGCGTTTGTCACAAGTCAGGACACAAAGCACAATAACCGAGCATCGACTATTCTTTCCCCAAGTTTGGACATCTGGGGTCTCGCGATACCCTCGAATAAGGAACACCCTATTTATTTTATTTTTTTAGCGGCAATTTTCGCTAAGTCATTCTAAAGAATGCGGTTTGAATTTCGAATTTATCATTTGATTCGTTGGCTTTAGAAGTCGTTTAAGCTGTAATTTGTGTGGTTTAATAGATTGAATAGATTTTTCATTTTGTTACACAAGTTTTTGAGTTTTAGGATAGGTAGCATTATAAAAATCAAATTTATTTCTGCCTATGAGAATCCATTGAGTTTACTTTTGTAAGTTCCTCGATATCCTATTTAAGTACCAAGTATCAATATTTGAGGGACCTACTTATACAGATTTTTGATACAAATACTGAGACAAACCAGTATAAGTGGATCCCTTAAATGTTAATATGAGTAGGTACCTAGTCATCATAATGTAGCAAACCAACTAATATCAAATACACGCTCCAACTCCCCAAACTACATAACACCCAATTTCCGAAACTGCTCACGAACTTCATAATACAACTCCGTTCAGCCAACTATTGAACAAGAACGCCATTAAACTTCAACAACAAGTAATCATACTGGCACTTTAAAACACCCCCTGCGTAATTACTGAAACCAACATAACTTGAACTATCAAACCCCTAACAAACTCCTAAAGTTCTAAGAAATTTACTCAAGCGCGCGGGGACCGGGAGGTCTCGATAAAATGGTCGTATAGGGTACCACTCCCCGTGCTCGCTACCCTATTAAGTGATGGGTAATTTAGGAATACATAAAGTACATAATAGGGTCCTTAACTCGGGCGTAATGAGGTGAAAACGGGGACGTTTACCCTATACAGCTTAATGTGCCGATCGGGTGTATGTGCTAAGTTTTGATATCAGTGTATTGGGTGAGAGATAATAGATAATGTAAGGAAAATCAGACTCTTTACTATACAATTTTAAAACAAAGAGAACAGGTCGCTTATTAATTTTGAGGCCACTATTGCAAATTCCACGAAAAATAACTCCAATATTTTAAGGTCTACTAGTCTATGAATCTGAACAACTTTTTTATAGGAGCATAGGCCCAAATATGAGAAAAAGTTGGGCCTCTCATACAATAATGTTTTTTTTTTGGCTGGCGTTCTGTAAAAAGGTCATAACTCGTAATTATAAAAAAAACTAGCGGCCTGTTAGCTGTTTCACCAGCTGCAACTCGTTTTCCCGCGGGAAAAAAGAATTTTCCCGGCATGTGTAATACATACATATAAAATCTTCCCCTTGGATTAGGTATACTACCTACTACAAAAATCGCATAAAAATCCGTTGCGTGGTTTAGAACGAGTTAGCGAATTCCACAACAGA